ACACACACACACACACAAGCTGCTTCTCCACATTTGCGTAATGTGACAGGTCTATTATTACACAGTAAGCCCACGGGAGCACTCAATAAACACCTATTTCTTCCTGTAAATCCCCCTGCCTCCGCCATGCTGCTTACACGGCTCTCCCAAGGCACACAACACCCTCTCGTCTCTCCTCCATTCTCCTCTGCTCCTCACTCCCCTCCACTCTCCTCCTCTTCTCCGTGGCAATATCCCCCCTCTGAAAGGCATTTATACACTGACATTTGGAATACAAATAAAGAAACGCGGACAAGGAGAGGCGGAGAGGATTACAGAGGCCTATGAGTCTGACAGTTGTTTCGCTCGCGCTCACACGTACATAATGTATCTACACACAAGCCCGCACAACACAAGAGCGATGACAGCTACTTAAAGTTTTGCATCGCCAGAAATGACTTTGTGCAAATCTTGTTTGTTAGTTGAACGTTATTGATAAGAAACAAAGAAGCCGAGCTGTGTTAACTCTTCAGCTGGATTTGAAGATGACATCTCAGCAGACAAACCAGAACAGGTGGTGGATTTTTAAACACACCCAGCCACGTCGCCACATCTCCTTCTAGCATGTCACCCCGAGCCTCTCACTGTGACGCTCCTCTATATGTCAGGGGGCATATATGAAACAGCTAGAATGACCCCCCTAACCCCGCACCGTGAGTGTGTTAGATGTGGGGTGTGACAGTGTGAAGCTACCCCCTGACCCCACCTCCCAGTAGTTAACGTCCAATTTTAAATCATGCAAAACCTGAGAGCTCGCCCCCCCGAGCAAGTGTTGCGACTGCTGCTCTGCCCCTTTCACACCGCCAAGCCGTGAATACCTTTTTACAAGACTAATAACCTCGGTCCCATCTGTGCATTGCTCAGCTCAGAGCATGAATGAAAATATTTAATGGTTTGGTTTGTGGATCGCCGGAGATGTTGGTTTAGCCGTGTTTTCTGTAAATTTGCAGCTTTTTCCGCCCAAGCCAGTCAGCTTTGGCTGTGGGCACTGGGCCATCCGAGGAAGTGTCACACTTTTAAAGGTCAGGTCCACACGTCTCACCACTGAGCCAATATCATCTCAATAGCAGCACTCATCTGCTTATTGGCTTTCATGCGGAACACACACACACACACACACACACACAGAGATGCAGGGGAAAGGGCTGTGACGCTAGGCGCGAGTATAGGTTAGCTGACTCGAGCGGTGCGTGGCTAAAGGATGCTAGTTCACATTTACATTTATGAATATATCTCTCCGCTGCATCCCCTCTGGTTGGATCTGAAAATAGAGAAAAATTATCACAGCGAAGGGGAAAAAAGAGAGGAAGGAGGGGGGGGATATTATGTTATTCATGAGGAAAACTTCTGTTGACTCTGAGAGAGAGAAAGAGAGAGAAAAAAAAAAACGTCAGCACATTTTAAGTCAAACACCCTTGGTTACTGCTTTTGTAACCAGAAAACAAGATTTTTTTTCACGTCCCATCTCCCTCCCTACCTCTCTCTTTTTTTTTTTCTTTCTCCCCCCCCTCCTCCTCTTCTGCATTTACAACACCTACAGGACAAGATTGCTAAATTGCGAGGACAGAGCAGGTTCATCATTGTGATGCAAAAGAAGTTGAAATGCAACCCCAAGGCGAGGTAGCTGAGTTTGGGGGATCAAGAGAAAGTGAGAGGGAGGGATAAAAAAAAAAAAAAAGTAGCTCAGACCTTTGATGTAGCAGCAACAAATTTACCTTGTGACAGAAGATACATGGCTGCAATAAACGAGTTATACCAGCCCTTACACATGCAATCAGATGATTCTGGCCAGGGTGTTAATTGGATCCTAACCGGCAGATCTGATACGCCTGGGCCCCGGTGGTGAGGGGGAAAGCCTTTCCAAGTGATGAACTATAATTCACTGAGCTGCTTGAAGCACTTGTAATTTACTGTGTGTCACTGATGAAGAGGCTGATCCAGTGGAGGCCATATTACCTGCAACATCAGAGGAAAGTGCACCCCCCCTCCTCCTCCTCCTCTCTTCCACCTGCTCTCACTTGTACTCTCTCACTTTCTTTCTATTCCAGCTCTCTCCTCTCTCTCCGCACTTTCTTTTTTTTAAAAATTCCCTCCCTCTCACTCTTTCTGTCGCTCCCATTTACTCTTGAACTGTGTGCACCTGCGGGGAGGCATCAGTCGGGAGTGAATTGTGCCAGTTTAATGATAAAGGTGTGGCAATTTGTACTGATAATGACACAAACAATGTGCGCAATCTATGCCGCGCAGCCACACTGGTGTATACTGCATTCAAGAGGCTTAATCAGTGACTTTCTACATGTAGAGATAAATCAATATGGAAATTGTGCTAAGCCCGTCCCAATCTCCTCGGGCTTTTTATTAGAGGCTTTTACATGATGGGTCTTTATGTTATGATAAATTGCACTTCCCATGCACTGCTGCCAAACTGTTATGGAAATTGATTTAGGAAAACATTCAGTAATCTACTTAGCTTCAGTCCTGACAATCTAGAGTATTGATCTCCCTAAGCTGAACACACTACATGTGTTTGAGTGAGGCTCACATGCATGCGATTTTACATAGTAAACACACATGTGCCCATTTCCACACACTTGAACTTCAGAGTCAGGAGCTCGCCCGACCAGCTCGCCCTGTTGCCTCGAGTAGTCCTTTAGCGGAGCGTCCTGGCTATCAATAATCGCGTGGCCACATTTGGCAGTAATTGGCTAGTAAATGAGCAGTGTCAACCGAGAGGGAGCTGAGAGGTCAGGAGTCCACAAGCTACGACGGGGGTCTGGGTTTCGGCCTCTGGGATGCTCTGGAGATTGAGATGAAATAGGAATGGGGAGGAGTGGTGGAGGGGGTTTCTTTCTTTTTCTTTTTTTTCTTTTTTTTTTGCTTGATTTCATAATCTCTTTTTCTGTGTGTAAAATGAAGCTAGTGGCTTAATTAGCAGTGACTCTCCTGCCAAGGATCCAGAGTAATTACCGACTAGGACCCTTCCATTTCTCATTGCATTTATCTTAGCAGTGTCTGTAGCGCAGCTCAGTCCCCTGTCCAGCGCTACAGGAACCTCTGTCGCTGATAACCGCCACATATTCGTTACCCTCGCAATGTTTATGGCTGCCATCTAATCACCATTTTCCAACACCACCACCACCCCCCCCTCAACCTCCTTCTGCTTATTACTGCCAGATGAAGTGATTTGTGTGGAAAGGAAGTCAAATAAAAGGAATTCCTCTCTGTCGGACTAATTGTTTAAGTTTGAACTCTGATTCTACTTATCTCCTCCTTTAGGTAATTTGAGTTCACTCATAAAAACGTATTGCCGTGCAGATAAAGTGCCACACAGTGGAGTGGGTGTAACCGCTGGTAGTGTATCTGTCCAGCGGTCAGGATACAGACAGCTGTGTCCGACAGCCAGCGCGGCAGCAGGTAGCCGGGATGTGGTGTTTTGCATTTAATGCCAGAATGCCTCGTTAAATCAAACATAATGAGAGACTTGGGTGCCAGCTTTGCCTGGAAGAGATACCTGAGCTCTCTGTGGAAGAGCTTGACCTTTTGCAAAGCATTGGAGAGGCTGGATACAGGCTGCGGGTGTGACAAGAGTGGTGTAATGATCTGCTTGTTCTGGTGAGGGCCCCACCAGTGTTTTTACATCATGAGCCAATTTAAAGGTCCTTTGTTTTGCTCTCCAACTTTGAGGGCAAACCACATGGCTTCAAAGTTCATGCCAATAAAGCTCGTTGTTATTTCTAAGACAAGGAATATAAACAAATAGGGGTTCAAATGGCGAGGACAGTCTGAAGCAGGCTTATTTTACATTCAAATGTCTTTTTTAAAAGTCATTTGCAAGCTACTCCTTTTTAATCCAAATTTGCACTAATAAAACCAGTAGACCAACCTTTTCAGTTATTAAGGTCCCCAGTGGCTACATCAGCTGCAGCTAATTTCAAACAATTTATTAAATCCCATTAATACTTTTTTCTTTTTTTTCCTTTTTTTTTTTTTTGCACCAGTACTGGAAATATATCCTTTTGGATTCCAGAGAAACAGAGGCACAGACCAATTGGATATCACGGCTCCTCTTCCACGAAAGAGAGTCTATTCACGGTGCGTGGATGTTTACGCCACTGCCGACGTCTACTAAATGCTCATTAATTTTATCCCTTCGTGGCAAAATCATTTCAAGGAGAAGCAATTCAGCCTCCTGTTCCTTTCAATTCACCGCTCACGTCAATCAAGCCCTCCTGCAGTATCCTGCAGAATGGAGGTGTTATATTCCTGCAATTATCATGTCATATACTCGAAAATGTAAATGAACGTGTGTGTAAAATTAAATTTATGGGTTGTCAGTGAAGAATAAGAACCAGGAGAGCAATTACTTATCTGCTTTCATCTTGGAGCCTCTGATACGTCAAGCAGAAAAGCATGCAGTTAAATGCTGGAATTAGCATTGTGCTGCACTTCACAATGGACGTGGGCCAGTGCCTTTTCTCCCCTCTCTTTCTTCCTGCTGCCTTTTCTCTCTTTTTCATTCCCCTTTTTCTTTTTTTGTTTGGAGCAGTAGTGAAATGAAGATGATTATCACCTATTATGTCCCTAAAAAGCTAATGAAAGTGTAAAAGGAACTTCTTTATTTCATAACCTGGTTGTTTGCTGTTTTTATTTTCAGTATTTTTTTTTGCTATTCTTTGTTGAAGTCTTGTTTGTTGCTGAAATCCTGCATTATTCATTTACAAGTACCTGACTCGGAATGCTTAATTTTTACCACTTACACAATAAAGAAGCAGTTTGAAGTCCAGTGGAGAATTTATATTTCGTTCTACTTCACATATTCATGCGCATACATTTGTTGTAAATCCTCTACGTGTAAGCCTGCATCCTTTTCGTGAACCAAACCGTCTTTGAGCCAGCAACCCAATTAATAGTCTTAATGAGTGCATCTCTCATGTTGTTTCTCAGCTGCATTTGTCCTATTGTAATGGCATCCAACACAAAACCAGGAGTGACTGCGGGGGTAATTACTTACCTAGCAAATGTACCTTTAAGGGTTAATAACGTTGAAGGTGTAAGCACAGCATTTGCATAATTACACACGGACTGTTTAATTTGCAACTTTTGACGGCTTTTGTTCAGCACCTCGCTTATTGTGAATGCAATTTCTCTTGTGCTCTTGCATGGAGGAGTCCAGAGAAGAAAGAGATGTACCACAACATCCTCCTCCTCCTCCATCTCTTCCACCTTAGATGGAGTCCCTTCTCTCTAAGACCCTAATGAACAATGGAGGCAGGATTTGTTTGAATATGAATATGAATGTGCAGCGGGGCTGGCTGGAAGTTGACCTTCAGCTGTGATTTTCAGTTCATCAGGATTAGTCAAGGCGGGCGATCAGGAGCCACTAATGCATAATGACTTCTAAAATGAAAAATGTGTAGTGACCATGCAAATGTCTCGGCTAATCAAAGAGGGGGGAAAACCTGGGGTGGGGGGTGGGCGTCGAGGAGAGGAGAGCTAAACAAGGACGTGTCAAGGCCTGACAGAGAGAGAGAGAGAGAGAAAGGGGGTGAGAGAGGAAGACAGAGAAGGAGGGAGGGAGGAGAGACATGCATGGAAAGTAATCAAGCCAGCTTGATTAGCTGGCGATGAGGACAGGGATGTCTTATTGGCCCCTTGACACACCGTATAGGCTAGCTACTGTCATGGCAGCTCTATGCCAAACACTGTCGCAATTAGCATCCGTGAAGGTGCTGCTACATGTTGATGTTTTAATTGTGTTATAAAGCCTGTCTGTCAGGAATCTTTGTTGACAAGATGCAGCAGCTCGGGCAGGACATACCAACTCATTTGTATCTGAGCTGATTGCATGACATTTTAAAGGTCATACAGGGAAGGAAGAGACGCAGTCAGTCCAGTGAAGTATGTCAAAAAGAAACCACTGTTTTGTGAAGTGGCTACTAAACCGACTACACATACATTTCCCATGACTGAAATGTAAACATCTTCTCTCCGCCAAAAGTTGTTCAATTTTTAAGCAGCCACGAGGAGCTGAAACTCCACACTCCTAACCGTTAGCCTGCACTCCCCTGTTAGAATGCGTGCACGCAATCAAAGACAGAGGAGGAACGTATCGTCTTCCCATTGATCTGCCGCCTCAGAAGTCGCTCGCGCTGCCGCCTTAGAAGAATTTGGCGGAAATACAGGATATGTATCTTTGTTTTGTTTTGGCGTCTACTGCGCTTCGACAGCTCGTGTTTTAATGATTAGCGCCGAAAAATGACATACATTTTTCAAAATGACATGTCGCGGAGACCAGGAAACAAGTGTGTTTTTCGCTGCTTTTGTGGGAAAACTTGACAACCTTGTTTGCTGCAGAAGGCATCTAGTAAAAAAAAAAAAAAGTCACTCCACCTTTTTTTCATAATTCCCTGGTTTCTAACATTAAAAATGCTTAGGGTGAACCCCAACCTCCCAGCCGCGGCCCACCACATCACGCTGATTGTGCCTGCTATGCGTCCACTTCATCAGCATACAGTAGTTTTAATCAACTTCAGAGTTGTGCGTTTTCACACTGTTTCACAATAGCAGCACTGATAGGCATGCTAAAGTGGGGGAGTTCAAGGGTCCTGCTAATTAAGGTCTATGTCTATATAAATCCCTTACTTTTCCCAGCGGGATGAAGGCAGGAAAATAAGATGAGCAACACAAAGGCACAGCACCCATCTGTCCTTCAGCATCTCCTCTAGGCTGCCAAGCGTCACGGCCATGGGAGGCCCGCTCTCCCTACCTCTCAAACCACCAATTACCACATTCCCAGTAGATCCATGGCACTATGCCTGACGCACTTCTCTAATGCTCTATTTATCAAACTTTCTCCCATTTTGCTCATCTTTCCATCCGTTTCACTCCCGCGCTCTCATTGTTTACCTTCTTTCTCCTCTCTCTCTTGTCGCTCCTTCCACCATTTTCTCCCTCGTCCTCTGTGTCCAGGTTCCAGTGTCAGTGGCCATGATGAGTCCCCAGGTGATCACGCCGCAACAGATGCAGCAGATCCTCCAGCAGCAGGTGCTTTCCCCCCAGCAGCTCCAGGCCCTGCTCCAGCAGCAGCAAGCCGTGATGCTGCAGCAGGTAAACACGCTGGACGCACGCAGCGCCGAACAAACATTTTGACACAAGCGCTGTGGCAGACACGGCTACACAGATTTGGCTGTTGTGTCTGCAGACAGATGCAAAAAAAAAAAAAATGCACACATAAACCCCCACGCAACCCCTGAGTCATTCCTGTGCCAGCGTATCACAGCCACCAGTCGCTCATGCCAACTCACCGCAGCCCGGTGTCCTTGACACGCTTACAAAGAGGGATCTGAAATTGACGTACTTGTTCGTGTCACCTCTAATTAACTGTCTCTAGTGTGTCGCTGGTTCAATTCCCTGACAAGCATCCATCAGGGACTGAGAGAGTAGGGCACAGTTGGGCTGAGTGATGGGTGATAGATGATGTAATATTTGGAATCAACTTGAGGAAGCACACACTTGACGCCGTCTCATGTCAGAGCTGAAACGCGTGTCTCATTCATAGATTTGATTAAGGAAAAGAGAATAGTTTAATTAAGAATGTCAGTCATTCTGATTATTTCTCTTCATTAAGAGTCCCACAACTCGAGATCTGGTTTCAGTGCAATCGCACGCCTTTACTTGGGGTTTTCATAGCAAGCAGACGCATTTGTCTGAAAATTTGACTCAACATTTCTTGTTAACATTTAACTATATACAGATAGCATGGTCAGTCTAGCAATGTTGATCATCTTGAATCAAATCTTTCATACAGAACTTGTGTCCTAAATCCAAAATCAAAAGGAATCACAAAGTCAAAACCTGCCCTAAGTTAGCATACAACAGAGTACTTTTGTTGATTTATGCAGATAAAGTGACTTCATTTTCAATTGCTCCTCGAGCTCCCATTTATTTTTGACATTACTGTCCGTTAAATCATGTGGATATTTCAGTGGCAATTTGCTCAGAACTGGGACATGCATTGCATTGGCCCGCTTCGTGGACTTCTGTTTTCAGGCCAAAGAGCCATCTGTAGATTACATGAAACAAAACATGAGTTTAAATAGCCGTCGCGCAATGTGTGTTAAAGGCTCAGTGTAGCAGTCCTGAGAGGGTTTATTCTGTTTCTTTCATTCGCTCCAAAAGAAGCTAATGCACTCTAGAGGCCAAATGCACAGTTAATATGATGGATTGTTGTCCCTACAGAACTGTGGGACTATTAAACAGATCACATGAAAAGAACTGTGAAAGACAGCAAGGATGCAAATGCCAAAAGCAGCAGAAAATGTAACTGACATTGTGCAACAGTTTATGTAATACAAACCATGTGAAGTTCCAGTGGAAATCATATAATGCAGGCAAGATTGGGAACAAATGTCTTGATGTTTGTGAGGGATGCTCTCTGATGTGTGTCAGTTGGGATTAATTGTACATCCCCAACATTGCTCTAAGTCTGAGTCATGTAATTTATAGCATTTAGAAGACATCCTAGATCAACCTATCTAAGTCTGCTTAGTAGTCTATGGATATCTCAGGATGATTTCGGTTTAGAAATGAGACCACTGAGAGATGTGTACAAATATGTGTTCACTCGTCCTTATCTTCCACCTTTTTCTTTGTGTCTCTGTGCAGCAACACCTGCAGGAATTTTATAAGAAACAACAGGAGCAGCTCCATCTGCAGCTTCTCCAGCAGCAACACCCTGGCAAGCAGGCTAAAGAGGTATGTGCATCATGAACTGGGGTTGTAGGGAGCCAAAGAGAATCCTGGTCAACTCAAGTCTTACTTGCCTTTAAACCAATTGATTGGTTTTGGAGGAAAAACTCTTGAGTGCACATAGAACTACATTGTATTAACTCATGATTTTGCCACAAAAAATATTGTGGAATATAACTCAGGCAAGTTAGAGTGTTGTTCTTCGATGATATGTCGTGTTGGTTGTTATTGTTTTTAACAAAATTCAACCACAGGAATGAATTCTGAGACATGGTTATGGGAAGTAAACATAATCAAGTAAATGTTAAATAAGTTCAACTCTACAGTGGCCATTAGGTTGGGCCAATTCAAAGTTGATAAAATGCAGGGTTGTTCATAGGTAGTCTGTTCCTCCTGCCACAAAAAATAATGGATTTTCATGTGGAACTTTTATTCTTACGAAAATACCACTGGAGATTGTTCGACCAATAACAGTGAGAGTATATCAGCCAGCCAATCGACCAGTTGTTGTGGACAGTACAGCCCTGCTACATACACTTTCAGCACCATATAGCAAATATTTAACACAAAGGGGATGGAAAGGTGGACTCACATGGCATCTGGCATCGACACAGATTCAGTATACATTCCACATTCTTTCACTCAAAAAGATGACAGGTTTCAGGCTTCGAACTAAACTAATTAAACTGTTTAAGTTATGAGAAGTGCAATTAGGCTAACCCCATAACACACACACACACACACCGATTCTAGTTATACTTATGTGACAGTTCCTGCTATGAAGGTATGAAGAGTCCGACTCCATTAATGAAGTGTTTCAAGTGACGTTCGCACACATGCTCTCGCGCTGATTTATAGAAAGGAAACCAGAGACAAAGGGTCCTGCGTCCAACTCGTTAATGAACTGTTTCCGTGGCCATACAAACACACACAAACACGCGCGCCGCCGCTAAAGTTGCAGTGTACGGCGCTCATAAATCACGGTGACAGGCAGCCGGTCGACAGACACTGCTCTGTCTCGTTCTCTTTGGCTATCAGAAGAGAGGAGACAAGCATGACAGCCTTAACCGCATTTGCGTAACGGTGTTGGTGCTGAGTCCTCAAGAGCCAGTCCGGGGCCACATCCAGACAACACTGTATGTGTGGAAGCAGTTAAATTGATAAGGAAAAAAGGTATCACATAAACACACACATTCTGCCATTCTCCCTCTCTTTTTTTTTTTGATGTCGTGCCTCTCAGTGTCTCCTCAAGCAGCCCATTATGCTGCCCCTACAGGAAGTCGCAACTGACCTCCCGGCGGCTTTGTTTCTGTTTGGATTTGCGAATAGAGTTTTTCAAGGGGCCTCGCCATCAAATATGGAATAGAAATTGCTCCCTTATTTCTCTTGAGGCGGGGTGGAGGGTTGTGAGGGACAAACCGCCTCCCTCCACCACTCCATTATGCAGCCTGTTTTCCAGTGAGCGCATCACAAGTTTTGGCCCCCTTCCTCCTCCGCCTCCTCCTCCTCCGTCCCTCCACCTTCGTACTTTTCCAGGTGCACCACAATACAACACACGAGCATGACACGGTGCATGCACATACACGTGTATAGAGAGGAGAGGAGAACAAAAACTAGCTAGTTAAAACATTATTTATGTCCTTCTGGAATATAGTAATGACACGGGTTTTCATAGTTTGATATAGGTGTTTGTGATATGGCACTGTTTCCCTAAAACTCTCTCCCTCTCTGACTTGTTTTGCAGCGGTGACTGAGTTTGATGTTTTTCCATTTTGTTGTTGTTTTTGTTGTTGTTTTGCACAGGGCTTACGCAATTGCCTGTCTGGCCCAGCGATAAACAATTCTGTGAGGCAGCGAGGAGAGCTGAGAGGGAGTGGAAGCAGGGGCGGCGGTGGGGGCGTAGCGGCGTGTTTGTGCGCGCACGTGTGCGTTTGCGCTTGTGTCTATGCGTTCACACGCACATGAAAGCTGTAAATCTCTCATTCTGCCAGTTCCCTCTGGTCACATAAGCTGTAACAGACCATCAGTGAAGGCGAGACAATTAACTATCAGGGGTGGTGGAGGGGTGTGGGACGGGGGATTATACCAGAGGCTTAGTATCATACACAATCACAAGCCACATACACTGACAGGCTCGAGAGCTGGTATATCAGCACAGCTTTGTGTCTGTTTGTGTGTGCCTGCGTTCGTGGACATGAACACACATAAAGAGAGAAGGCAACAGCACTGTGGTACAGCCCAAAAAAAAACAGGAGGAAAGTGAGCGCAGACAGAGAGGGAGAGCGTGCAGGGAGCAGAAGAAGAGCCAGAGAGGTATAGCTAAGGTCACAGCAGAGGCGAGCGACTCTCGGTGCACAAACGCCGCTCCGTCTTCTCTCTCCTCTCCCGCTCTCTCAGTTGTTAATTCGCCTGTAATTTTCCCTCCCCTCCTCTCCTCTCCTCTCCGCTCCTCTCTTGCTCCTCACTTCCTCCTCCTCCTCCTCTCTATAGCAACAGCAGCAGCAGCAGCAGCTGGCCGCCCAGCAGCTCGTCTTCCAGCAGCAGCTCCTGCAGATGCAGCAGCTCCAACAGCAGCAGCACCTGCTCAACATGCAGCGGCAGGGCCTGCTCTCGCTGCCTGGGCCCGCTCCAGGCCAGGCCGCCCTGCCCGGACAGACCCTGCCCCCACAAGGTAAGAGGAGGAGGGAACCGGAGGAGAAGTGGCGGGAGGAAGAGGGAGTAGGGATGATCTTGAGCACGTGACTTGCACATACTTCCTGGGTGTCTGTGTGGGTGCCTTTCATTGTTTCTCCCCGCTGTCAGTCCTCTTCTGTCTTTCTGTCCTGCCTATCTTTGCTTTTCTAATTGGTATGCACCTGTGTCCCTGTTGCGTTATCTCTAAGTATGTCTGTCTGTGTGCCTTCTCCTCATTGGTATGCTCTTCTACCATCCACTTTGTCCCTAACTCTCCACATGATTCTTTTGTTTAGTCTTTTATTCTTCCTTTCTCTTACTCCCTCTCTTCTTGTCTGATTATGGCTTTCTTTGTCTACCTCTGTTTCTCTCTCAGCTCTGCTCTTGCCTCTGTTTGTGTTTGTTGTTTTTCCATCTCTGTTTCTATTCCCCCGCTCCCCAACCCCACCGCCCCCCTCCTTCCAGCAGCGGTTGTTGTTGTTGTTGTTGTTTACTGCCTTTACTGAGAACCAGGGAGAGGCGAAAGAGAAGAATAAAATACGAGAGAGAGATAGAGGCTCCATTTTCTCCTCCTGAGCCAAGTAAACACCTATGTTTGTTGTTTACCACCAAAATGGCGGAGACAGAAAACAACAGGCAGGGAGATGTTAGAAGCAAATCAAAGGAGTGACTATTGCCTAATTAGTTGCCAAGCCGAAAACAAGCAGTGGACAAAGCTTGTTTGTCTCAGACATAATCAATGTTTCATAGTTCTTCCTCATTGACAACATTCAAGTCTTAGTGACTGAGAGCTGCACAAGTGATCTCTTATCAGTTTTAAATCAGCATCTAACTGGGCAGAGAAGAAGAGCACCCCACTTGGTTTTATTGATCAGAAAAGTATGAGTTCAAACGCTGCAAGAGAGCAGCACAGTGGTGTAGTCACTTAGTGAGAGCAAGGCCTTGAGTCATGCAGCTTTGTGGAACTTTTCTGGATTCTGAAAAAAACTTTACAGAGTTGTCTCACACCAGATACAAGAGTTTGTATTTAGCATACAGTACGTTCTCCCTACTCAACCCCTCATTCTCCTCTCTGTCTCTGCTTCCCTGTCTGTTTCCCCCATTTTCTCCCTCTCTCCCTCCTGGTGTCTCCAGCTGGCTTAAGCCCCGCAGAGCTCCAGCAGTTGTGGAAGGACGTGACCGGAGGCGGCGGTCACACCATGGAGGACAACGGCATCAAACACAGCAACAGCGGCACCGGCACCGGCGTGAGCGGCGGCGGCGGTTTAGACCTCTCCACCAACAACTCTTCTTCAACTACCTCCTCCTCCAATCCCGCCAAAGCATCGCCGCCCATCTCTCACCATTCCATCGCCAACGGACAGTCTCCGGCCCTCAACCACAGACGAGAGAGGGAAAGGGAAAGGGAGCGAGAGAGGTAAAACAACTGAAATGTCACCCACCAAGGAACAAGGCGGAGAAGATGAAAAGTTTACAGCAGCGCACAAGCTGCTTGTTGTTCAGTGTAGGAACACATCAGAACGCAGCAACAATCTGCAGCATTGTTACTTCAGGGGGGAAAAAAGGATGTTTTGTTTATTTATTCAATAGTTTATTAGTGTCTTGGTGATATTTAAAAAAAAAAAAAATAAGAGGCTTGTTCTCCCAGGGGACCGTGCGTGCCATTGAACACACTTAGCTTGCGCACACATATCAAACGCAAGGAGAGGAAGCCATGCAGGCAGGCGCACTTACAACAAACCTCTCTGGCAGGCAAGACAAGGTAACCCCCTTGTACATTAAGTATTTAGTGCTTTCTCTTTTTTTTTTCCTCTTTTGAAAATTACCTTCCTTGCTTGCTTGTCATGTAAACAGAATACGTGATGCCTTGAGTGGCGTTTCCAGGATGTTTATCCTTGTGATGGCGTCTTTTATAAATGCAGCCAGCACCGAAACACTGACTGTTCACATATCTGCCTATCTGGCCCATGCATTATTCAAAGGCTTTTCTTGGGCGATATTATAATAAGGACTTAGGGTAGCAGTGTGTGTGTCTGCATAGATGCTTGGTAGAGACTCACACTGGAGGTGGAAGTGCTGTGTAATTGGTTTAAAGTAGATGCTATCTCTCCAGTACCACTAAAAGGAGGCTTGAAAAAGATATCTTTAGAAGGAAGACAGAGAGAAAGAGAGAGGTTGGGAATGTATGAGAAGAGAGGGAAGAAAGGAAGGAGGAAAAAAAAAAAAGGACTTTTTATCTGCTCGTGTCCCGAGGGGTGTGTGGTGTCTCATAATGATCGAACAAGGAGTATTGTCAGGAGCACTGCTTACTAACATGCCATGGATCGATGTGGGGAAAGCCCCTCTGTAAAACACAGTGTGAGCTCTGCCAGCACTAACACACACACACACACACACACACACACACACACACACACACACACACAACCATATATTCATGGTCTGCACTGGCAGGCAGGCATGCATGTAGTCCTCGACCACACACGCACAGGCATAACCTATAAGCAGACAAACACACACCGAGACACCGGCTGTACACAACGTACTCTCATTCACATTTTCACACAAAGACAGACGCACACACACCAGTGCCAAGCCTAAAGGTTAAACTGTCATCTTTAATAGGATGTGCTGTCTAGGCAGGGTCGTAACTTATTTGGGTGCCATTTGAAAAACGCCAGAACACCCCTGCTCCCCTCGTCCTCAAAGAACATAAGTTACACAGAGTATTAATCTCCTGATGAAAATTATATGGCTGTCTGGATTTTTAATGTTTACTTGAAAGCCTCCACCCCTCCTCCCCATAATAGCTTTACAAGATGGGATGGTGGCTGTGGTGGAGACAAAGCTGCAGCTCACTCCACATTTCCACTTGGGGGTTGTTAGTTGGACCTATATTTCTCACACATTAGGCCATACTGTGTAATGTCGTTAGCATGTAGTGATTATTTAGATTGAATGGAGATCGGTGGTTGCTTTCTGACACCCCTGTGTTCACCAACTTCTGCTAGTACATTTATATGTCTCCCTTTCTCCCTCTAACTCCTGTCTAGCTTTTTTTTATTGAGCAATTGACATGTTTTGACCTCTTTCTGCTTGTTTTTAACCTTACACAAACTGTCTTTAGCAGCTTTTATAATGAACTTGAAGCTCCCCTGCTCCTCTCACTCTCCACACCTCCCTTCCTCTTCATCTCCTGTTTCGTATTTGCTCATTTTTTACTCTGCTCGTCTTTTTTTTTTTCCCCTCTGTTCTTTTTTTAGTACACTACATGAAGAAAGCGGAGGGACCCACCCCCTGTACGGTCATGGCGTGTGCAAGTGGCCCGGCTGTGAGAACATCTGCGAGGACTTTGGACAGTTTTTGAAGTAAGAGCGCGCCCCGTGACAGAGATGTAACGCCGCGGACGATATCCGCTCACCTCTCCCTGTTAACACCATGTGGTAGAAGCTATTTTATTGTGAAACGCACAAAAGTTATCCCCCTCTCAGTACAGCGCCTCCTCTCTCAGTGGGTACAGGGGCTTAACAAAGAAAACATCACTGCCTTTCAAAGAGCACATTTTGACCTTCTAGACAGCTAGTTGACAGGGTTCTGCTCTAGCAATGCAGGATTCAAACCAACTCTGATCCATAACAAATTTCCTTCCTGGCGTGGAGGGGCCTGATAGGTTTGTGAAAAAAGCGTCAAAAGCTAATGGCAACTCGCACGGCCGCACACTTACCTCCACAACAAAGGCCCCCATTCACTGTTGTCATGGTGCAGGCGCCAGAGCGAATGAACTCTTCATGCTCCATCAACAATTTAGTTAATTAGCTCATTTGTAATTGGCCGGCTTTGTTGCCTGGATGTTAGTGGGGGGACATCAAAGGAAGAAGGTGTTTGCAGCACTGCCGATTACAGGTTATCACATTGCCACTCACTGAGAGTCTCTCTCTCTCTTTCTCTCTCCCTCCCTCTCTCTCTCTCTCTCTCTCTCACACTCTTTCCCTGGTTCCCTGCTCTCACACAGAGAAGAAAAGAAAGGGAAAGCTTTAATTTGAATATTCTAATTAGATTTGTAATTAACTGTGAAATAACGATCTGGCGAGTGTTTTTCATGGGCTGTAAATGTCCATGTGAATTCGCATAAACTCTTGAAATCAGGACATTGTTCCGGCTTATTTTCCAAATTATACATTTCTCTACAGTAGTGACTGTAATAAGTTGCAGAAAGCAAAAAAAAAAAAAAAGGAAAAAAATGTACTGATACAAGAAACTGGTGCACCCATGGGGAGCTGCTGTAGGATTTAGGTCAGGCTTTTGCTAATTCTACACCAGCTTTTGAATTAAAGATAAAAGGTGCGTCTGTGAAATGAAATGACTCTAATAAACACACTGTTTACCGGTCTTTTCAAAGACACAGCCAGGCAGTACATTAGGCTTCGTTTTCACACACTGTCAAGGCATGTGATACACCTCAAGGAACCGTAATTGACAGCGATGGATTTAAATGAATCAGAGGTGAATATATATTACAACTGCAGCCTGACAAGTGTGTTTGCTTATCCCCTGTGGAAAATGCACCACATACATGTCAATGTCAATATCAGCGCACATCCATAGGCATCATGTAGTATAATTCTCGAAGTCGTGCTTATGTAAAGCCAGTTTGCTGTGCACAATCCATCGTCCGACCTGGACTACATGTACACTGGTCCAGGTAGAACAGTTTGCCTTGCAGCTTGGGACCAGATGCGTGCGTGATAAGGCAAGCCTGTGTCGGATTAGCAGGTTTTCTGATATCTTGTCCTATCACCTTAATACACTTTCCTAAAGAAGACATCAGTCTATTCCTCTGCACTTTACGCTCTGTTCACACGCAAACGCACGTAAGTCTGTGTGCTCTGAGGATACTGTGTCTAGGTAGCTTAGCCGGTTATTTAGGTGAGGGCCAGAGAAACACAGTGCAAGGCGATGTGTCTGCGAATCCCGTAAGCTGGGTAAGCCAATGCAGCAGTTGCACGGTTGTAAAGACAAACTGAGAGAGCGAGCAAGACACGAGGAGAGAAAACAGGTAGATTTCAAACTTAAAAGCGAGAGCACAGGTTGGCAGACGGTTTTGTAAGAACACTTGCCAGAACATTGGCTGCTACAAAACAGAACCGCCTCACACACACACACACACACATCTGTGCAAGTCAGAGGCTGGCTCTATACTGTAACCCAGCCAGCACATGAAAACAGACACCAACAAAGAAGGCAGGCTCGTCATCAGAACAAAGATGACTGCTCGGTGGCGTGCCTTGGAGCGGTGATTGTAGGTGTCAGAGGGAGTCCTTTTATGTTTCCGGAGATGCCAGTCGACTACACACACACCGACGCGCACGCACACACACACACACACACACACACACACACACACAGAGGCACAGTTTAAACGGGGTTACATAAAGTGGGTGTCAGATTTAGATGACAGTTTAGATGTTGGTAGTTGGGTGTGGGTTACGTGTGCCGGGGAGAGGCGGCGGGAGGGGAACCCAAGTCAAGCCGGCGTCTCGTAGCTCGCTGCAGGAGCTCGGCTCAGCGGCGGTGACACGTTTAGTCATCTATTGTTTTGTTGCATGAAGAAACTTGTCAAGATCAGCATTTAATAGCTCTTCAGCGTGCTTTTAAGTGTTCTCACCTGGAAAAGGTAGCCGCGAGGAGGCTGGCACCCCGAATTAGCTCTGTGAAGTTCAAAATGAAACAATATTGCGGGGAATGTTTCTTGAGCGGTGGGTGTTGCGAGTCGTGGGGGTGTATTTGTGTTAGGTACACGAAGAAGGGAGAGGGAGGAACATTAGTGCTTTTAGGTGATGTGCTTGAGCTATTTTTGTGGGAGGCTTTTGGTAAGAGATTCATAATGCAATTAATGCAACTTCATGTGTATCATTTGCCATATTTGTCAGTGCAACGCCTCCCTCTTGGGTTCTGCAGGTTTTTATATCTTTATCAAAGCCGAAACAGATCCAGGTTGTTGTTTCTTCTCCAGAATACACACACACCTTCCTCCTCCCCCCCTCCTCCCGCTACTTTGACTCTTCACCTTGTGTACCCCTTTTAAATCAATGTCCTCCCACCTCAACGAAACACTCGCTCGCCACGCATAAACAGACGCTCACTCCCGCACACACTCGCACCGAACTCTTCCGCTTTCTGTCACCACTCAGCTCTCCTTATTACTGGCAGGAAAGGCAGGCTCTATGTTAAAATGGCAAGCTCAGCCGCTAACCTGAACGCTGGTGTCTGTAACCCACTGCTAATTAAACCCACAAGGCAGCAGCCAAGTGTCTTTGTCTCTGTATAACGTACACATACACACAGTGTGGAGGCAGGCAGGCGGCGAGGCAGGCCCCCGGCCCCTGGATAGCTAAGCTCTCCTCTACTATTCCACATGTCTGCTGCACTGTGACAAGACCTTTAAAACGGAGGGCATTACTTACGCACCACCACCAAGGGGAGAGGGGGAGTGTGTGTGGAAGTGTGTGAGGATGTGTATGCATGCTTGCGAATAAGTCCTTGTTTATGCATGCTCGTAGGTGTGCAGCACATGTGTACATGCATATGGCTGCTTGTATACTGCATGTGTGACTGAGTTGGTGAGTGTGTCAGACAGTTAGGGGGGCTAACTTTCTCTGCTGGGCCTTTTTCACCCCTGATAATACACACAGACAATTAGCAGAAGTGTATCATCCATATATGCTGGCTTGAGTAGATTTATTATTGGGCCCTTAGTGTACGCTGATGGCCTATACATATTCATGTAGCCAGCAATGGGGGAAAAACCTTTGAGATGTTTTGTTCCCTTCTCTTTAAAAGAAAAGAGAAATTACAGGATCCGATAAAAAAAAAAAAAGAGGAAGAAATCTTTATCTAGGGGTTGAAAAACAACAGCTGTGTCTCACCCCTCCCTCACCCTCCACTTATCGGCCTCTTTGTCTCTTTACTTGCTGTTATTTGCTTTTGGTTTCTCTACCTTGGCTACATCCCTCAATCTCCATCTACATCCTTTCTTCCCCCTGTTCTCACATGGCCTTCATCACATGGGTAATTCCCTCAAAGGCAGAAATCAATGCTCCTCTCCAGAATGACTCATGAACAGTAAACATAAACAGTAGCCAGCCATGCCTGACAGCGAGACCTGCTTCATCCACCTGCAAGTTTGAGTGCTTACACTTCAAAGCTGCAGTTAAACTGACTCCCTGTGACTCCTTCTTTTTTTTTTGTCTTGGAGTAAATTTACATTCTAACCTTCAAATTATTTAGTTTGGTTATAATTAATGCAGCTTAAAAGGCAGTAGAGCAAAGTCAAGTAAATCATCCAACACAATAAGAGGACAGACAGTTTTAATTCAAAGATTTCAGTAAATAAGGTGTTCTTTCATTATTGTTTTCAGTCTGCCCATCTGTGTCTGCCCCCCTCCTCTGTTTCTGTCTTTGTGTGGCATTATTAATGCACAGTAGGACAAGCTGCCATTTGAATATTTCATAAACGCATGTAGTAATCTCCCTGTAATCGCCTTGCTAACTGGCCAGCAGTGGAAAAGGATGCAGGAAGCTGGAGGACTGCTGCGAGGGCCTTCACGCACAAACACAAAATATAAGAGAAACAAGCTGCTTGTCGATGAATGGCTTAATAAAGATTTCCTCCTTCTCTGTCTTTTTTTTTTCTTTTTTGTGAAACAAGGTATCTTCAGGGACAGCGAGCAGGCCGCTCTGTGCTTTTGAAGCAGCTGTAATTCATGACACACGCCATACATCAAGTGCATAAGATAGCATTATGGGCAGTGAAATGAAAAGGGTATTTGCAACATTAGTTCCCTCATCCTGCGAGGGACGTGATTAAATGATTAATGAAATGCCCCCTTTTTGCATGCGCATTCTGAAACAGCAATTAGGCACAGGGCTGAAGAAATCCACCAGTTCGTCCCTCCCCTTTCTGCTGCTATCCTTCATCTGTCCCTCTCCCCACCCCTTCCTTTTTTTTTTTTTTTTTTAATACTACCTCATTCTTGATTTATAATGAAAAATTTTCTGAGCATTAGACCTGAAATGGTTACAAAAGTATAAGCAGGGACAAGACGGAATGGATTTAAATGTGTTCGGTCTAATTGAAAGGTACAGTGCTATTGTGATTACAAATGTTCTATTCAGCTTTTGATTGGCAGGCCAGGAGAAGCCGGCTCGATGAGTTGTCTTGTTTTGCACATTGCAGATAAACAAGAAGCGAGAGAATAGAGGAATATGTGGTGGGAGTGTGTATTTTTGTGTGCCCTTTTTTTTTGTGTGTGTGCGTGTGTGCGCGCGCCAATCAGTGTTTGTGCGAGTTCGTGATAATGTAAGCGAGCGTGTGTGTTCTTAGATAAAGTGAACGCCAGAGAGAGATTTTGTACTCCCTCTAATGCACTGGAGGCAGCGCTGTAAATGATCATTGAAGGGTCTGCAAGCTAACCTATAATTACTGGAGATAAAGTGGCAGCTCTGGCATTTCATAAGCATGCCTCCTCAAAGCTTGCTTTGTGAGTTTGTCACCAATGATCATTTAGATAGAGGCTCATTACCCAGCATCACAACACTTTAGAAACCCCTTTTCGCCCCATATTTGTGTTTTTGTGTGTGTGTGTGTGTGTGTGTCTGCGTATGCGTGCGCTACCAGGAATAAAGGTCTATCTTAATGGTGGAGCTTTTGTGTCCTACAGACGAAATCCAATCAAGACAAAAACCCTCATTGACTGTTATGGCTGTCTGGCTGCCTTTTTCTTCTAATGAGGCGAACACACCAGATACATTTAATATGTCTGCCGCTGGATAATGCACCTTCAAGTGAGGAGCTGCTTTTGTGTGTCAAATGTTGCTGGTGTTAAATTGTGTGTATTGTTTTCGGTAAACGAAGGAGACAAAGCCATTCTGCTGGGCCAGCATCTTTTATTCTCTGTAGAAAGCAGCGCTCGGGGTGGCACTGAAGTTAGCCATCTAAACTGGCGCAGGCCTATTGTCATGTTAAACATGGCACCACACACCATCATGTTACTTCTAATTACCTCATTTCAGAGTGGAACAATGGTTCCTAACAGGATCCTATAGATAATTGTCCCAGTATAGAAATATTATCATTAAAACAAAACAGTGGTGAAGTTGATACTGTAATTATCATCCTCTACAATTTTGATCCTGCTGAAAATGATTCTAATTTGCTGTCGTCTTCTTGCTGTGACATATTTGATAGATTTTGAAGTTGGAGTGTGATATCTCTCTTTTTCTTCTCTCCTGCCTCCACCAGGCACCTAAACAGTGAACATGCCCTCGACGACCGGAGCACGGCCCAGTGTAGAGTCCAAATGCAAGTCGTACAGCAGCTGGAAATACAGGTACGTTTTCTTTTAGAGCAAAAAAAACAACGAGCAGAAAGTAGTTCGGAAAAAGTTCTATCTATTGTTACATTTCACCATTATCACATTTTACAGTACTCAACACTTAAATTCACATTTAAGTCACGAATCATCCGGTCAAAAACTTTATTTTTTGAAAGTTATGTGAGCGAGAGAAAGGCCAATATTGTGGTCTGCTTAATACTTCCAGACAAGCAGGACCTGCTGAATTCAACAAAGCCACTAAACAAAGGAATCCTCAGGCCTTACAACGAAAGCCATTATGGCTGTTTTAATTGAATTAAGCGTATGCTTTATTTTCTCTGCTTTCTTTTTTTTTTTTCTCTTTTTCTTTCCAATTAATAGCGAGCGCATCTCTCCCAGTCTGCTGTGTTAATTAACTGCACTTTGCACCTGAAGAAAGCTCAAAAGGAGGGAACTATTTTCAGTAGGTGGAGCGTGACCTTATTAAGAAGTCATGCTGGCTAGATAATGAGAGCGCTGATTGAGCGACATTATTACTCAGCACTGCTGACAAGTGCTGCTCTTCCTTTAGAAACAAATAGACGTGTGTTTTAAACTTATTGCTAAATGGAAATATTCAGTCTTCCAGTTGAAACCAGGCCTGAGTTGAGCTGAACCGTTCTCCTCAATAAATGAAGATATTATTTTTTAAGTGGCTTAGATGTCTTAAAAATTTGGCAAAAATGTCAGATGTGCTGTATGAAAGAATCCAAATTCAAATCCATTAATGTGCTCTCCTCACTTACCCTCTACCAGAGTGCTAAGTCAAGCTTTCCCTCCCACACATTTTATTTTCTGGTCTGATAAGCGGTTTGCATTTCATTTGGATTCATCCGGGGTGTTTTAAAAGTAAATAAACTGTGGGGTAAAACAAGACCAAAAAAAAAAAGAAAAGGATCTGTGCTATTTATTTCATTTCATTTCATTTTCTCTGTTTTGTTTTTCATTGCAACACAAAGCTACTGAAGCTTGCTCCTTACAGTGTGACCAATTACAGTGCACTTGTGTTGCAAGCTGTCCTGTCTCTTGTCTTCTCTCCTTTTACTTCTATTCTTTACTCCCACCATCATTCTCTTTCCCTCTCTTTTTTTTTCTCCTTGAGAGCCGTCACTAGTAATGAGGCCCGGCTTTGTGTATGTGTGCACCTCACCTACTTGCTTGTCTGTTTTTCTGTGTGTTTGATCCCTGTATATGTGTGTGTGTGTGTGTGTGTGTGTTGTATTAAGGGCGTGGGGGGTTCAGCCTTTCGCATGGTCCAGTCTCTGTCACTCCTTGTGAATTAGATTGATGATAGGCAATGGCTGGGGCCACTAACTGGACCGGGGAGGCGGGGCCGCCTGGCACCCTGTTTGGAAGACCCCTTCACCTCTCAGCAGCTGCTGGCTGCGCTCCATCCCCCTAACAGTGTCCACAGGACTTTGAGCAGACACTCAGGACCACCTAATTTATGGCCCGACTAGCTTGTTACTGTCAGAGCCTCACTGACCTAAATTCTGCTATTGACAAAAAGATGAAATGCTATTTGTTTTGCCTGACCTCTCTGCACCTTCTCCCCCAGCTTCTCATATTCTCCTTACATTACCAGCAGCACAGTTGTCTCCTGTCTGCCTTGCTTTCTTTTTCGTTCTTCCCACCACCTTCTTTTTTCATTCATTTGTGTATTCCTCTCCTCCCTTCTCCTCTCCTGTCCCCTGCTCTCCTTCTCTAATCTACTCTAATGTACTCTCTTCTTCTTCTGCCTCTTCTTCTTCTTCTCTCTTAACAGCTTTCTAAAGAACGCGAGCGTCTTCAGGCGATGATGACCCACTTGCACATGCGGCCCTCAGAACCCAAGTCATCTCCCAAACCAGTGAGTGCATATTGCTCCGGCTACCGTAAACAGGCTCGGCTGTGAATGAGGCAGCCACACAGAAAATGAACAGTTTAAGCGTGCAGCAGTTTGGGCAAGTGAGTGACAGAAGATGAAAGGGGAAGGAGGGGGGGGGGGAATGGGATTTGTAATACCGAGTTACATCTGCTTCTTATCAGTTATTGTGCGCCCGTGAGAGGACAATAGAGTTTGGAAGTGTATTAGATGGCAGAGCGGTGGAGTCCTTGGCTAAAACACTGGGTCATTTCTTTGTGATAGATATAATAGCCAAAACAACCTGTTGGCAGCTGATGACTGTTTGGCTCAGTGGCCGCAGCGGCACTCGAAGCTGGAATGAGAGAGGAGAAGATGTGTCATTTTAACAACCAACACCTGAAAATTACAGCTGAGTGGTGAAGATGGCGCGATGTTGACATAAATACCCACAGTGAAGCTGAAATTGGTTGCAGGGAGAGGGGGGGAGGAAAAAAAAGACGAAATCCAAAATTGTGAAAGGGGTCATCGAAGAAGGAAAATGATGTCATTCCAGATTTTCTTGCCTTTTACTTTTAGATGGAATGATTATGAATGCCTTTCTCCAAGCCACTATTTGAATTTGATATTAAGATGATACGTTTTTGCAAACATTATTTCCTTCCAATTTTAGACGTTTTGAAATATTTGAGAGCAAAACATTGTTAGCGTGTTTCTGCTGCTTAGTAAGTGCCTACTTTCAATAGAATAATTTTCCTCATCACCTCTCATCACAGAATGTAGATAATCACAAGATAGCATAATTATCCCATAATTCCATCAGGAATCAAACTCCCTTTTTATTATTCAATCTCTCTCGCTCTTTCTCTCCCCCTCTCTGTAGATTTTTTTTTTTTTTTTTTTAATCTTCAAAACTCCAGCAGCTTGGTTCCATCTCGTCCAATAAAGAATTTGCAGCCTATAATCCATGCCTGAATATGAATGAATGATGCTAATGAAGTATTGCATTACATAAAGCACACATGAAAGAGCAGCTAATTGCATTTGATGGTGGGGGCAATTCAGACAGAATTCCTAAACGAACAGTTAAATCCTCAGTTTTAAGGCTTCCCCGGTTTTTTTTTTTTTTTTAAGGGGAGGTAAGATAAAGATTTGTTGCGGGACAGAGGGGGGCGGATAACATGCATGTGTGCAAAAGTGAATAGATACAACAAAAGAGAGATGGTTGGTGGATTTCAAGTGGCAGCAGAAGAGCAAAATAGCAACGGCGCAGGCATTTGATTAAAGTAAGAAGTCCATGTTCGCCTATCAGGGCTTGGAATAAATCCTATTTTTTTCATTAGTGAAGCCTCTGACCAACCAGTGCTCAACCAATACAAGACACCGGTACACTGTCTCCAATATGACCCCATTTATTCCCTGAATCGCACTTCATTAAATGCTACCTTTTGGCTATGCTATGGATGGATGAGAATCAAAGTTAGCAAGGATACAAGTTTTGAATAATAAGCTATCTCTCTCTCTCCTTCTGCCAACCTTGAGTGTGCATTCAGATGAGCGAGAGGTGACAAAGTGCTCACTCCTCCCTCCGTTCGACTGTAATCATTTCTATTTGGTCAAAATGGGATTGCAAACATGTCGCGCTTGTTTCCGTGTCTTGTTGGTAAAGAGGCTGCAAAAAGGGACAGGAAAATTGTGTTTTAACATTATAAATATACATGCCCATATGCGCATATGAGGGCATTTATTTTGAATTTAGTTTGCATATTTTGAGGTCTTTTCTTCCCCCCCTCCCACTACTTCCCGCCTTATAGAACGTGAGTGTTTATCAAATAACCTTTACACGAAAATGCAGTTTGTATTTCACGGTTCAGCGTGCGGTTTGCATGTAACAGGATGCGGGAGAATGAACAGTCATATCAGGTGCAGGTGTCGCGACCTCATCCGGGATGAATTACACAGAGATTTGCACGTTGCGTACTTTTGACGAGCGTCGAAATGCTGGAGAAAAGTGATTTTTGTATTCCAGCGGTCAGTTGTGTGTTTGTGCGGCGTGTCTGTCAAAGGAAAACAGATAAACAGCAGATAATAAGAAAAGACTACACAACAGAGACGGCTAAATTACCGCTAAAGTTGGCTTAATATATTGTTTGAGTAGTTATTATTAATATTAGCTGTAAACTATCAGATATATTAACACATATCGATATTTAGATGTACATTCTTTCCATAACTCTCTTCTTCATTCTCCGACTCCTGTATAAGCAACCAGCCCATGTCCCAGCCCATCACTGTAGCAGCTCATTACAGCTAAGTGGGCATATAATTATCATCTGAAAGCGCCCCTACGTCTCTCAAACTTGACATTTTATCGTATTTATCAACACATGCCACAAATGACCGCTGATACCTTCTCCTCAGCCTCCCATCTCTCAGCGCCTTCGGCCCCTCATTCCCTTCCATCTTTCAAGTCGGTTTTAATTCAGACTCCGCGCAACGGATGCATTCCACTTGTAGACTCACAATTAAGGCAATTTGGTTTGAATATGTAACGATGTCATTACCATTCCGGCTAAATTAGCGCAGAGACTAAAAGGTCAGTTAGGAATTTTCCAGTCGGTTAGAGCCTCTCACATGAGATTTGGGAAGGCAAACGCAAAAGTGGTGGAAAAGCTGGGCGATTAGCAAAGCCTAGTTGGCATGCGAGCCAGAGGTAAGTAACACTCTCTCATGTTGAGGGAGTGGAGGAGACAAAGATAAAGAGCGCACATGAGTGTGGAGTGACCATAGCTGTCCGCGCAGATTGCTCGAAGCCTCTTTTCAACTTCACCCTCAGAAAGAACTTCATACACTTCCTCGTGCACTGGAAGTCGCACCGAATTAAGGGCAATAAATCTGCTGTAACTGCAGTCTCTCCTCGAGTGATAATGACGTCCGGTTGTGTTGTTGATTCCTCCCGTGACGTATTCTCAACTGTGGTCTCCAACTGCACTTGTCATACAATAAATCACTTTGCATGGCTGTCCTGACCAGGAGGCTGCTCTCTTAAACCCTCTTTCACGCTGAGCCAGTGAACCAAGAATTTTGCTGTTGGTGGGAACGAGCCAACATAAATTATCTAGCCACGTCTGTAAAACCTGGCCATGAGAAAGGCTTTGTATCGGTCGAAAACCTCTGGACTTTGGTATTAAATGGGGGTCATGGATTGAAGGTAAATTAAGTTATAACAGCTCCGTTGTATTATGTATTTATCCAGGCTTTCAGCTCCTCCACCACAAAATTGCTTGATTATAAAGCAGGACACACAATGGCGATCGATTCAAAATTAAGAAAACATATCTTATTGAGTTACGCTGTAGTTGTTCATTCACCGTCGCACAGCCTGGTGTTAAGAATCAGATGTAAACCCTCGGCTTTAGCCAACCAATATCATTCCAAAATAATAGTGTGAGTACGTTCTGGGTTTTTTTTTTTTGCTGAGATGGTTCAGGTTTCCTGATGATATCTAACTTAGCCTCACCCTTTCATAACAACGTGGAATTATGTCATGAGCAGGATTGTGGTTCTAGACCAGGGTCAGATGTCGGCAAAATCACCCCGACAGCAAGAGTTTCTCCGAGGCTCATTTCTTCAGTGTATAAGGATTACGGGGTGGTTGCGGTGGGGTAGATTGAGAGGGAGAGAAGGAGGGAGGCAAGGAGGGAGGGAGGGTGTGATAAATAGAGAGATAAAGAGAGATGGGGCCGGGATAACACGGATGCTGATCGTCGGATAATCTTGAACAGCGTGCTCTAATTAGAATTCTTATGATACAATTTGGTGGTTGTAATTAGTGGAGATGGGCTGGCTGCTCTCCACGAGCCTTGTTAGTGGAAACACAGCTGTGTTAGAGAGGAGGAGAGCAGACACTCTGCTCTGTCAGAGAAACCACAAAATAATGCTTTCCTCCTCCTCCTTCCCTCCCTCCCTCTACCTCCCTCCCTCCCTCTGCCTCCCACTTGTATCTATCTCTTTCCAGCTCTCCACCAATCGCGCTGTGTCTTCTTCCCCCTTTTTCCAGCTTAACTTGGTGTCCAGCGTCACCATGTCCAAGAACTTGCCGTCAGCATCGCCCCCCAACTTACCTCAGACACCCACCACGCCCACAGCGCCGATCACACCCATGGCCGCCATGCCCCAGGTGCCGTCAGTACTGGGAGGAGCAAACGTTCCCAGCATGGGAGCCATGCGCAGACGCCACTCAGACAAATACTCCATGCCTTTGTCGTCAGGTAGGACCAACTACTCAGCGCTGCACCTAACACAGATGCACAAATGCTGCCAGTCAGTGCGCGCAGTTCACGTTCAAGCAAAGCAAAATCACACAAATGCTGATTAAAAGCGTTGGATTTTTGAGGACAAATTACCTCCTAAATTGCTTGAATTTAATGTGAATTGTGCGCAACACACACACACACACACACACACACACACACACACACACTCACACACATTTAAGAGTTGAGCTATTAAATGCTGTTTCAGCTCCTATTCTGATTTTGAGCTGCACTTAAGAATAAAATAAAATTCAGACTTTTAATATTTAAACTGAAATCCTATTCAAATTTAATGAAAAAATAATGTTGAATTAGCAAATTACATGTGATACCTCAACCCAATCATCACGTTCTAGTTGTGTAACACACACACACACACACACACACACATGACATAAACACATCCACACAACCACAGAGCCTTGTTGATCTTACCAATGTGAGATGTCTGGGTGGGTTTATAAAAGCAAGCCTGTGTTTAATCACTCTATATGTAAATAGACAAGAAGTTCCTCTGTGCATAAATATTACATGAATGTTAATTAAGTTCAAATAATGGTGAAAAAAAAATACAATATTTATTACATTAAGACATTCCATGTGTTAAGCTTTGCATTTTAAACGGTCCGTCTTTGATGTTTATATTTACTCTCTGTGTTTAGTGTGAAGAAACATAAATTATTCAACTTCACCCTAACTAACTACACGGATCTCATTTTATGGATGTATTAGTGTTTAAGATCTCTCACGAGAGAGATTAATTAAAAATGCATTTTGTTAGACATGGAAAATGCTGATTTGATGTGCCCCCTCCACCCCTCCAACCACCCCAACCCTCTTTTTCTCTCTCTCTCCCCCCCCTTTCCCACCCTTTCTCCCCTATCCCCCCCCACCCCACCCCATTTTAATTTGATGAAAACTTGAGTAAATGCAATACCTAAAGGAATAAAATTTACCAATTATTTCAGGTGGTGACACAGTATTTATTTTTCCAGAGATTGCCCCAAACTACGAGTTTTATAAGAACGCAGATGTCAGACCGCCATTTACTTATGCAACCCTCATAAGACAGGTGAGTGGGAAATAAATTAACTTTGCCTGATTAGATTAAAATTAATTGCTGCATGAATCATGGCAGCTCTCTCTCTCTCTCTCTCCACTCTCAATCTGTTGTGTGTATGTGTGTGTGTGTGTCAGTTACCTGGTCTCGTTAGTAAACCATTATTTGATGTCATCTCATTTCAGGCTATCATGGACTCTGCCGACATGCAGTTAACGCTTAATGAAATCTACAGCTGGTTCACGCGCACGTTCGCCTACTTCAGACGCAATGCCGCAACTTGGAAGGTAACCTCGATGAACCCCGGCACCCTCACTGCGCCCTCTCACTGTAAAAGGCCTCCCTCTCACTGAAGTCAAACACACACACACACACACAAAAAAAAAAAAGCCTTAAGAAAGCATATATTTACTCAGCACAGAGCGATTAGCACTCCTCTAACCTTTCTCCTGAATAGAGCCCTTTCTTTCCCTTATTTATTTTTCCACCTTTCCGCCTTTTCTGTTTAGAAATGACAGCCGAAAGAATTATTCTCCCTCAGATATCGTTTTCTAATTTGGTGCAATTAATAGCGGAGGCTTGGCGCGGGAGAGGAGAGGGCTCTGACGCACTAATTATACAGCAGCCACTCCATCATCAGCACCTTTTGTTAAGAGATACACCCCTCCTCCTATTCCTGAAACCACCTTCCTCTCGCATATCATTGGTTTATTAGGGAGAAAGATGGCTGTTTGCCTGTTAACCAGTTCTCAGCAGTGTGAGGCCAAAAACGTATAAATCGTGTCTCAGAGAGGGGTTAAGAGTGTGCTCGCGTAGAACTAAAGCCGAGGGGGGAAAAAGTGAGAATTGGCCTGTCATGGAGGCAGAACTCTTTATTTACCCACACAAAAGGGCCCATTTGTATATCTGTCCTTACAACTTTATTGTCCTGTCTGCGTGCACAAAGATGGTAAAAAATGTCTCTCCTGCAGCACGCTTTAACCAGAAGTGTGTCTGCCTGCTGATAAAGAAAGCCCCAACCGAGCGCCAGTGTCTTCGGCGTTTTTTTTTTTTATCCCGTGGCCCCTGCGCGTCGTTCGTTAGCTGCCTTTAGCCTTTGTGGCTGCACGGAGGACTGGAGGGAAAACTCGGCCCAGCCGCTCATCAGCATGCAAGACGCGTCGCAGCACTAGATTTAGCAAAGTGAATTAATTTGGATTTGGGATGCAAATGAGCACATGGGCGTGTGATCACCAATTCAGGAGGGCATGCAAAAAGATCGGTGCCCTTTTCCAGTTTGTTAGGTACAGTTCGCACCGTGTTTTGCTGTGTAATAATATAATGACAAGATATGTTCTCGGCGGGTTTGTTGTGCGGCTGTTTGTGGCACACAACAACACAACAACCCACAGCTGTGCTGCTTTAAATGTTCTTTTTTTCCCCCCTTTCTTTCATGATTAAGCTCCTCTGTGATACAATAGCAGTGGTGACTTTAGAAATATCTTGTCTTCTTGCCTCCCACCATCACAATCACCAAGGTGATCTATTTACATCCACAGTTCCCTTTGTAAGCATTAGTGGGATGATCAGCGATGGGCTTGTCATTTGATTAACAGTGAGAATTTGTTGTTTTTTTCTTTTTTAAAAAAATGAAGAAGACGAAGCAAAGAAAGAAATAAATGAAAGGTAGTTTAATATCTCAGCTTGGTCTCATCAGCTCAAAAGAGGGATCTACCCCCCCACCCCACTTTTCCTTTCTCTCTCTTTTCTCTCACCCAGAAGCTTATTAGTTCTAACTATATAGCATGCATAATAAAACTGCTCATTTGCTCATTAATATTAAAATTATCATATTCAGAGCCATGGGCATTAAGATCAATCAAATCCTGGGATTTTCAGGTCAGATGCGAGATCTGCTTATGAGTTTTTTTTTTTCCTTTTTTTTTTCTGAATCCCTTTTTCTTGGAGAAAGAGCAGTACACACCAAGCTAAGGGAGATGATAAATATGAGCGGCAGGGATATTAAAGCCAAGGTTATTATTTGTAGAGTCTGATGCATGTTTTAATTATGGTCATATGGTCATATTAATATAAGAGGGCCTTTTTTCTTTAGATTTTTCTTATTTTGTAATTAATGAAAAACACCTTGCTGGTTTATTTTTCAAAAGATATATCGTACTTTAATTTAAAGGCAGCTTTGATAGTAAATTTAAAAGATAATTGTAAGCCGTGTAAGGACATATTCAACACCAGATGTGACACCACTTGGAGAATATTTGGACATATAGATGTCAGATACAGTTCAGCTTAATCCCGCTCACTTGTGAACGCACACACCAGCTTTCCAACACACACACACACACACACACTGGCACAGGGGCCTCCTGATGACTGTCTTTTTTCTTGCAATACTGTCATCTTTAAAGCGATGTGTCCATTAAGAGCAATGCTTTTCTGGAGCAGGAAGGGTTACTGACATCACCATTATCAAGGCCGGCATTACCACTTCTGTCACCACCATAAGCCATTCGCTATGCTGATTACCTCCTTTTAGCCTACTTACTCTGATTGATATGTACTGTGTGCAGGACTTGTAAGAGCATTCGCTCTCACTCAATTTTTACTAATTAAATCAATGGTGCGTGAATGTTAAGAATTTCTTCAAAATGCAAGAAAAAAAAAATCAATTTCCAAGCCTTCTTTTTTTTTTTTTTTTTTCTTTTTCTTGATGGATAATGAATGAATACAATTCGTTTTACCTCATCCCTCTGACCTGTGTGTCACGTCTCTCCGCAGAACGCCGTTCGCCACAACCTCAGTCTGCACAAGTGCTTTGTGCGTGTGGAGAACGTGAAGGGGGCGGTGTGGACGGTAGATGAGGTGGAGTACCAGAAACGCAGGTCGCAGAAGATCACAGGGTAGGAGTTCTGTTGCTTCTTAGATCAAGATCTGTAGGCCAATGACATGTAGAAAATCACAGACAGCCAGCAGGCCCTGTTCCTGTTTTCTCTTGTTGTTTATACATCCTCAATTTTCTGCCTTTCTGCTGCTAGGTCCAGTGTAAACTAACTATTTTTTCCCTTTTGTGTGCTTTGTTTACATCATATCTAGAAGCCCATCACTTGTCAAGAACCTGCCCTCCAGTCTTGGCTATGGAACTGCACTAAATGCCAGCTTACAGGTACGAACCAAAAGCTTCAGAGGACCCCTGACTCACCGGCTGCCGGTTTATTTGACTGACAGACAGGACCGCTGCCTGAGTGACTGATCAATTGAGTGACTGAATGAGTGTGGTTACTGTGCACAAAAGAACTCCATATTGCACTTTGCATAAGAGGGAGCAAGTTGTTTTTTTTTTTTTCTTTTCCCTTTCCTAACTCATGTTACTGCCTCCATTCTCCGCTTGTCTTTCTCTCCCCTCACACCTTCCCTCTCCTCCCACCTCCTTCCTCCACACCGTCAGACTCAGAAGGCCACCCTGTGGTTGAATCCAGAAGCAGCTCTCGCTCCTTCCTTCCCGTTCTTTCTCCTTTTCTTTTCAGCTGTGGCAGCCACCCTAGATTGATAGCGGCATGTGCAAATGCAAGGGCATGTGCATTAATATTTATCTAAGCTGTCATAAATGATTTGGCTTCATAGTGTACGCCGGCGAGGTGCTCATGGCAAAAACTTTAAAAATTTAATCACTGTATATAACTTTAATGCGCAGCAGGCGAAAGTGTCAGGAGTTTTTATTATTTTGAGGTAAAGTTTTTGGGGGGACTTTTCTTTAATAGCCACACCACACAAGGGCATACGGATGGCAGCTGGGGGAGCCGGTTGTCAGCAAGGTGTCATGAAGGGGAAAATAGCTTGCAACAGAATAACACTAAGACAATGCCTTTTAATTATTACTATGTTAATTACTGTTATGTATTTTTCACTCAGCTGCACTTTTTACACCGTCTCCAAACCACCAAACAACCCACCTGCCTCTTTTCATTATCCCTCTTGTGCTTCTCCCATCTTCTCTCTTGCTTATCTTCAGTGTTCCTTAATTGTCTCCCACCTTATTCAAATACTCCCTCTCTTCCTCCTTGTCCTGCAGGCTGCCCTGGCGGAGACCTCCCTGCCTCTGCTGGGGACCCCCGGGCTCATGAACAGCGGTTCCACAGGCCCGATGGGAGGCAGCTGCCACGGCCTCCTCGGCGGAGACCCGTCCGTACTGACCGGCGGGAGTCCACCCGGGCTGTTGGGCGGGAGTCCGCCCGGCTTGCTGGGCGGCAGCCCCCCGGTCACGCTGAGCGGCAGCCCCCCCACCCTGTTGCAGTCCGCCCACGACGAGCTCAACGGCTCACTCGACCACCTTGACACCAACGGACACAGCAGCCCCGGATACTCCCCTCCAGTACACATGTGAGTTCCTGCAGATGGAAGAAGCGTTCCTGCAGCTGCACCCATGCATGAAAAAAACAGCTTCATGATTAGGGGACATTTAAACACTGCTATAGAAACAATTTACTGATGTTTGTGTCAGTTTTACAATAATTCAAGAGATAATACGAGCAGAACAAGAAACACTTTAAGACAACTTTCAGATGTTTTAAAGCTATCTGCTCCATTTCACAACAACAACAACAACAACAGCACTCCTCGATGGATCTCATTAGGCTGCCCTTTACCCACATCCTTCACCCAGAACAGCTACTGGAAGTCGTTCACAGACAACCACCAAAGTGAATCTCTAATCCTGTAACCCTAAATCCCTTCATGTTCATTCATTGAAGTACAGTACATGATGGATCACAGTGCCTGTTTCATGCCTTAAAAAATGTTAAATGCAATGGGAATACACTAATTTACACCTCACAGATTTTTAAGAGTACTTATCTCCGATGTTGACCCCCGCCCGCCCCTCTTCTCCTCCTACACCAAATTGGCTCGCTCTCTTTTTGCCCTTTGTTAGCTTAATTGTCTGACATTTAACCCGCAGTATCAGTATTTTCGTCAGTTTTACCATGACCCGAGGGCAAGGCTTAATTTCCAGCATGCATTGTATCACAAGCAGACGGTTCCTCTTCCTGTATCTGCTGTGGTAATTTCAATGCTTCATACCTGAGGTGAGTCTGACGTTTTAGGTAACAGTTAGTTCAAGCCTATAAATAGTCTCTATTACACATTCGTCTTTAATTACACCGCTGTCTGCATTATAGGGGTTTAGCTGCTATATTTTATGCAAGACTGTTCCTATTAATATTTAGCAAGTGTAGCATTAATTACCTTAAAAATCGCTCCCTTTCCCAACTCTGGCTTAATGTAGCTGAGAGAGAAAGAGAGTGTTTTTAAAAATTGATCTCATGTGAGTTTCAGGAACGTCTGAGCCGGTGGTGTCACACAGGGCTCAAGGCAGCACGCGGGGAAACACACTCACACACACACACACACACGTTGCGAAACAAACACTCTGAAATTACACTTTAATGATTCTTATCCACTGTCCATCAAAGCTCGTGTCGCAAAAGTCAGTCGACATCACTCCTGTAATGGATAAAGGATGCACTGCGGCTGAGTGTGTCTCAGAGAACAGAGGGGCGTTTGGTTTCGTCCTACCAGACGTCTATACGTTAATCTGTTTGGACGTAGTTTACCCCTCTCTGAAATGGGGTGTTAAGTGGAGCAAATCTGCCCAGCTCTAGACAGAATCCCAGTGTTACCACTCCCTCAGGTCATTTAATTTTTAGTAACAGACCAGCGCTGACTTTTCCGCTCTTCTCTCTGACCACACCGCCTTGACACTGACATGGAGGATAAGATGCATCCATCCATCCTTCTTTGCCCCCCCTCCCCTCCCCTCCATCCATCCTCCGCCTGCCTTCACGCAGCCACGACAACCTCAAAATGGAAGAAATGTGTTTTTCACGACCGGCTTTTCCGGGATGTGTTTAAATAATAGAGCGGCTTGTAGCACTGAACTAAATAGCACATCACCTTCGCGGGGCCCTTCCTCGGGAGACGGCTCCTCGACGAGGCAAATTCAACAGTTAGACGAGCCTCTCCTTTCCCCTAAATGTCGAGAGGTTAATGATACCTGCTTAACCGCAAACCAGCGTTGCCCCTGGGCCTCGTGCATGTGTGTGCATGCATCATGTACACCCTAAGGGGTAAAAGAAGCGGTAACACAAGAAAAGACCAGAACTGTACCAAACGACGCTTCCCAAAACTTCATTAGGGATAAAAGCAAACACCATCCATTGAATGTGACTTTATTTTATGAGCTGTGTCTTGTGCCGTCACATGTAATTGTTTGGTGACCACCCTTCTTTGGCGTCAGTTAATGAATCAGACTGAGTTATGAATGTCTTTGATTGCCCACCCCTCGTCCTCCTCACCCCTCCCTGCCTCCCGCCTGCCTCGCACACACCCCCTCCCTTCCTCGCTACATCTCCCCTCCAACGTACCATTAGGCGCGTGGACTAATGACCTTATTTGCATCCCTGACATACCTCTGCATGATTGCTGGTGCTAATCTCCAATTGATGTGAGAGCAGGCATCTCACACGCACGCCGAGTATTTATTACAACCGCAAAGTCCGGCGTTTACTCCTGAGTGACTCAATAATGGCAGATAGCCATTAAGTACTAAATGGCTCATCCACATATTTTAATAAAGCGTCAGAAAGCTGGGGCCTGTGAATACGCTCCTGCATATTTTTTTTTACAATTTTTTTCTTCTAAGTCACACAAACATCTAATGAGCTGCGCATTAAAAGGAGAGGGGTTTTTACATTCAGGTGATCTATGGAAACCATTCCACACGCTTTTATTTTGAAGATGATTTGTAGAGAACGAGCTTTCAAAATAAGGCATGCTGTTGTTGTGTAATGAACGTAGTTATCTAATATGTACCTGGAGATGCTACACGTTCTCCTGTTTAACATTCATACACAGTATTTATACATTAATTTATACATGTTTATGGAGCGCTATGCAGATTAGTGTTTATTAATGTATTTGTCAACAGCTACAATTGCTTGACTGTGTGCTGATAAATAGAGTAAATAAGAAATTAGTACGTCAATAATAGATAATATGTCTTCACAGGAGATATAACCATATTGTAGTATGTTACACAACATGCTTGTCATTGTTGATTATGGTGCTGGTTGAATTTTATAGAAAAGTGGCAAAAAATATCACACGAATGTTGTTTTCAATCAAATCGACTCATCTATTCAGACGTCACAGCTGTTCTTATTACATTTTCTGTTAATTAGCCGATGCTTCAGCACTAGATTTGCTGTATATCTCCAAAAAAATAAATATATAACGTAACCTCATTTATTTATTCTTTAAAAGTCATCTTTACATCCAGGCTTAGGGTTAGGGAGGGAGCACAGTCGGTGTTTTTCTGCTTCTCTAACCTCTGGCGGAGGTGTTTTTCTCTTTGCTCTCTCCATAAATCTGAGGGGCAGAAACAGAAATATTCATCGCTCGCCTCGCATCCTGCTAAGATCAGCCTCCTCCTCACATCCCACCGCATCAGAATATTAATTTACAGTATTTGGCTCTGCATATTAAAGTCATCTGTACCTTTTAAAATTCTTTTCAAATTCAAAGCCCTCCCCTCTTCCACTGATGAAGGCAGCCCAGGAGAGACGCGTCCTAACGCACTACCACTTGATAAGTCTGCCTCTCTCTCTCTCTCTCTCCCTCCTCACTCTCCTCTTTCAAAGTCTACGGGGATTTTCTGATGCATCCGATGTGTCAGAAATAATTAGGTTTTGTCAGATTTATCATCATGGCACAAACCCTTCTACCCGACTCGGGCCCCAGATCATGTTATGCCTTGTTTGTGTGTGACAGCATTATTATTCTTGTTAGTCGCCCAACACTTCTTCTTCTTTTTTTTTTTTTTTTCCTTTCCGCCCACTCCTCTGTTGTTCTGAAGGGAAAGGTGTCCTGCGAGCCGCACCGCTGCTGCTTCCTGCCCAGCGCTTATTGACAATGGCTAAAGATATTCATCCATTTAGAGTTAAAAACATGTATCATGGTGTCCGAGCGAACTGCCGGGGCTGAAGTTGATTAATGGCAGAACCTAGCTGCCGGTTTTTCCTCTTGAGGAGCGACATGCACAGCCCCTGCATATTAACGAGTGGCTGCGCTTTCTATTAACTAGATAAAAAAGCCTCTCCTCTGCCTTTGCTCCAGGGGGCTCAGGGATGAGAAATTCTCCATTATTTATCATGTGGCCTGTTTTTTTTTTTTTTTCCCTTTTTCCTTTTTCATGTATTTCAACCTGGTGTCATCAGTAAACTTTTAAATGCCAAACATGTCTGGAACATCACAGCTTATCGGCCTTACAGGGGCCATGTTTTTCATGCAATTTTCATGCGCTTACTTACAGTAGACGTGAGGCATCATGTCGAATTAGCGTCTTGCAAACAACACGGTTGTTACCTTCACTAGATAATGCATGTAATGCCTGTTTGTGATACGGCAGGCTATTTATCTGTTTGTTGTGTTACAGTACAAGGAGGTAATGGCTGAAAACCTTCACTGTCTACTACATATTATTTTGTTACGGTATTAATTAGCACTACTACGTTTTTTTTTTTTCTCCCCCTCAGGAGTTTTCCAGCTACTTTAAAGTTGCACTTGACAAATTTACATGTGAGTTCTTGATCTGGCTGCAGATTTCTCATAAAACCCGACAGGAAGCTAACATTTATTGGCAATGTGATTGTGTCGCAGGCCACCCGTTCACGTTAAGGAGGAGCCGCTTAATATGGACGACGACGACTGTCCGATGTCACTCGTGACGACAGCCAATCACAGTCCAGAGCTGGATGACGACCGGGAGCTGGAGGAAGGGAACTTATCGGAAGACCTGGAGTGACTAGGATACAGTTTTTGGCGAACGTATCCCTTCACCCAACCGCACTGTTTCTCTCACACAGACCTCCTGCAAGACTAGAAACCACTCCACAGTCCAAGCAACCACAGCTGACTCTCTCTTTGTCTCTCTCACCACTGGGACTATTTATTGAGCATGTATCCGGATAGAGACCGGTCCAAAGGAACTCTTTGTTGCAGCCCTTTGGGATCCCCAAACATGACAGGCATGAGATGTCTGATTTAAAAGAAAAAAAAACAAATTAACTCTTTGAGACCTGTTTCATTAGGGATGGCGTGGCCACATACAGTATCAAGGATGACGGACTCATGGATGGGGAAAAAAAAAAAACATGAAACAAATGAGCAAATCATTTTCCGTTGAAAGCTAGCGGCCTCATATACTGCCAAAAAGGAAGACATTTTATGTTTGTGAATAATCCAACCCACAGTAGTTGTTAATGTCTAGAGACAATTGCTGGTTCAATTCAAGTTGTTGCTCTGTTATCATTTGCACAGGAGTAGTCTCAGAAATTTGTGTCACTGCCTGTATGTTGCTACTATTATGAAAACCAGTATATTATTTTCAGCTTTCTTTTCTTTTCTTTTTCTTTTTTTTTTTTTTTCCAGCCATTGTTATTTTCCAAAAATATGATTTAGGACACCACCAACTGTAAATGCCATTTCCCTGAATCACACCAGTAACGGAACTGCGGTACCAAGACTGTTGTTGCAGCTGTCCAGAAAAAAAACAAAAAGAGAAAAGGTTGGCTTCCAGTCTGTTATCTGTTTGTGATCAAAAGTTCGAAAAAAAACTGGAAATTAAGTTGGGAGGGGGATAAAGAAAAAAAAAAAAACACACAGTTTCTTTAAAGCACCATTTACAAAACAAATGCATTTCTGCATAATTTTCTTCTCGCTGTTCTCCTTACCTCCTCGTTCTAAAGCTTTGTCTACCTGCAAACAGTCACAGGCAACAGCTAGAAACCAAAGCCAACACTAGCAATGGCCAATAGCTTATAGACAGAAGCCACCAAACTCCTCTTGGTCCGCCTTCTGTGACTTTAAACTAGTACAAAGAGAAGCTTTTGTTCCGCAAACTACCTTGGAATAACCTCTGGGATTGTTTCATTTAGCCCTATACAAAGATGATCATGAGAAGAAAGAGAGAGGGGAAATAAATGCTGATTTTGATGTGTAATTTGATAACTCATAAAACGTCCACTTTGGGGGATTTTCTGCCAGATGTACTGTAGGTGAAAAAAAAAAAAGAAAGGTGATGTGATATTTTGAACTGCAGGCATTTATGTGATTTAACTGGTAGAGAGCAGCTAACTGTAAAAGTGGATCATGACCAAAACAAAACATTTGTGTATTCAATGGAAGTGCAGAAACATTGTGTTGTTGTGAAGTTTAGTTGAATTTTTATTTTTTTAAAAAGAAGCTTTTTTTTTTTTTTGTTACGCATTACACATCAGAAGTCATTCTTTTTTATTTTGGGATTTTTTTTTAATTTTATTTTTTCTAACCTGGTGAATATGTATTGTTCTAAGTGGGACTGTCAAAATAATGTCACGTCTTATTTCCGTGGCGGTTTTTGTTCTGAGCCGCGTCGAAACCGAAACTGAAAACATCGCTAACCAAACATGAAAAATATCTAGTGAAGCCAAATAAGTCATGATTTCAAGTTAATATGAAATGATGTGGCTTGGTTACCATGTAAAAGCAAATAGTAATAGCCATTGCAGAAGAGGATATCTAAGGTGAAGGGTAACCTTTTCTAGGTGATATTTGCTTTAAACTTCATCGAATACTCATCGTGTGGGTCACAGCTTCTAAACTATATAGACACGAGCGGCGTTGGCACTCGTCTACTCTGTATAGGTAGCCAGCTTTTTATAACACACTCGGTATTTCTAGCGACTAAAGAGAAGTAGTTATTGTCGGAAACTACGTCCCATCATTTTCCTCACAGCCAATGTCATCTAGAAAAGTGTTGTTGCTTTAATGGTCATTTCTGTTTTCAGTAAACCAAAGTTACACAAAATTCTGCCTCCTCTTGTATGGGATAAAGGAATCCTAAAAAAAAAAACAAAAAAAAAAGAAACACACACACCCTGTCGGAGACTAGCATACATGTGCGTGAACACAAACACACACACACACACACACACACACAAACAGACCCCCTGATGCTTTTGGTCTGCCAACTTTCTTGTTTTGGTTTGAATCTCCAGCTGCAGGAAAAAAAAAAAAGAAGCTGTCAAAGAAACCGACGTGGCTTTGGTTGTCGCGCTGCAGCAGCGGGCGACGCGTCTGCCTGTTTTGACCAAAATGGAAACACACTGTGCATATGTTGTTTTCAAGTGTTGTTGCGCCAAGCCAAGGAAGCGGCCGCGAGAGCTTAACACACACAGACACGTGCAGTCCTGTACAAAACACACACAGCATGTAAAGCACACACACATATACCCACACACACACACACACACATGTGCCAGTCCCACGTCAAGAGGGGACTGGGCCCAGGAACAAAGCTTATCCCTTCAATACTTAGCTGGAGTCAGCAAAACGACTTGAAGACGACGTCCTTAATAATCTTATCACACCAAATAAAAAGGACGCTGCGTCTTTCAACAAAAAAAAAAAAAGCAAAAAGGAAAAAAAAAAAAGGAAAAAAAAAAAAAAAAAAGGGTTCTCCCACTTACCCAAAAAGGCTTTCTAAAAGCTTCTACCTCTGCACAACAAAAATTCAGAACAATTATGACAGATTGCACGAAGTTACGAGAATGCCACAAGAAGCTGTTACACTTTACTACGCTTGTCTCATAGGACGTGGCTCAAACCAACGTTTACATTCCCTGCGTCAAGATATGGAAGATTTGCATTGTAATAGGTTGTCCTCAAACATTTGTAGAATGATAATGTATAGATTACCTGTAAGGGAATATTGTGTTTTAAAAATGCATGTCTAAAAATCATTTGGTGGACTGGAAACAAGAACTAATAAAAAGAATATAATAAAAATCATCGGGATGATGGCCTAAATGTACGTACAATGCATCGGAGTGCATTACCTCAGATATACTGTTTTGGGAGGGATAAAACCTGTCAGCCACAGAATGCATATTACCTGTAGATTTGCATGGGTTTTGTATAAATTAAGTAAAAAAAAAAAATGTCTAAAATAGTTGCTTGCACATAATACCAGAAAGACCTCCAGAACTGCGATCTGCTCCTCCACTAGATTTTAGGATTGTCTGGATTTTCTGGGTTGATTTTGTCTGTATTTTGATAACTGTGCATACTTATGTAAAAAAAAAAGAAAAAAAAAAATGTTGGTGGACCCATAAATTTACCAGACTTTTTTCTAAGAGGAAAAAAAATCTCAGTGTTTCTTTTCTGACTTACCTGAATTTTTACTGTTTCTCTCTCATTGCTCGCTAAGAATAGCAAACCTGCTTTTTCTGCATCTGCTTTGCGTAGCTGTAAGGCTTAACCTAATGTGTGTATTTATTGCTTGTACCTCTGTGCATACTTTATGAAGCATTATGTCTGGCAGTTGAGTCATGTATCCTTTCTACTGCTATCCTTCTCTAATAATTGAGAATATGATCCCCCTATGTATACAGTAAATTGGGACTGTAGCAAACATATGTTTATGTAATTGGTGAAAACTTTTTTTTGTTTTTTTTTTTTGTTCGTTTGTTTTTTTATTTTTATTTTCGATCGAGATTCAACTACTTTTTTTGATACTTTTCATTACTGTGTACTGTGTCCATACGTTAAAGGTTCTCTGACATTAGAAGGTCATGGTTGAGAATTGTAACAGACATTATTTTCTGTATTCATGGCATTTCACTGCTGAATAAAATAAAGGACCAAAACTTGGAATTTGAAAAAGCAACTGTCTACCTCCAGCATCAGAGAGTAAATTATTTCCCCCCTCCCTCCCCGCCTCCTCGCCCCTCCGCTGTTACACATATATCTTTTATTCTACAAAGGCACAGCCATGAAAATCTAGCTGGCATTACACTTTTAACGTTTCAGGAGCTGCTACTTCAGAGATGTGAAGGGAGGAGGTTGGGAAAAAAACAATTAAAATTTAATGTATATGTTACAAGGCTTTTTTCCCCCCCAAGCTTCCAGCACCTAGAGTCTTGTTTAGAGGAGCGGGACAAGGCACTGTGTTGCCCACCCCTCTGGACCTGTAATGGGTTTAGCCTTTGTATGATTCAAGCCCGCTGCTTTCATGTACCACAAGCATGTCTCGGTATACACGGAAGTGCTGCTGTGTACCTTTGAAAGGCTTTTGTAAGAGCCAGCTAGGCTTCATTTCATGCACTTCATGCTGCAAAAAGTGGTTTTGGCACAAACCGCATTATTAAGTCTGTTGTCATGCTAAAAAAAAAAAAAAAAAAAAGCGGCCTTATTAACATCATGTAGAGAAAACAAAGATGTGAGATTTCATCAGCTGCTTCCATTTTCCTCCTCCGTCTTTAAGAAAGCCTCTTGACACTTCAAACGAAGAGGGGAGGGGGGGGAGAAAAAAAACATGCTTTTTAGCCTCTCGATTGATGGATGTTGACTGGTAAAACGCCATGACAGCCAATGTGGCTAAATCAACTCCAGCAGGCCTACCACACCTTGTCGGTCATGGAGCAGCCACACACTGACACCCTCATTTGGATTCAAACTGAATCTACCATGACCAATAGGTTGCCCATTAGCTCGTCTGTATGCCGAGAGCCTTCTACACGTTCCAAAGGGTGCTCAGGGACATCGTGGGACCCTTTGAATCATATCCGCTGGTCATTTAATCGTAACGCTGATGCATGTTCTTTTTCCTTTACCATATGATGTCCCATGAGAGGTCAGAAAACAACAGCATTTTTCATAAAGGAGCACACTTGTCTCTCTCTTCAACCTCCCACCCCTCCAATGACAGTCCCAGGCATCAGCCATGGCAGGCTTCCTGTTATCTCCTCAGCAATGGCGTTCCAGAGCATTAGCTAGCTCGCAAGGCACTTGTCTTTCCGTGCTATTTATGCACTTGGAAGTGTTTGTGAATTCAAGTGAGGGATTGCATACGGAGCGCAACAAGGGCCGCTGTGTACTACACAACATCAGAGGGAGCTCCGACATTAAAGTGTGAGAGCGCCTGCTATAGACCCCTTCTTTCAAAGGCCATGAAATAATAATGGGTTGTGGTTAGAGAGGTATCCGTGAGTCACACTGGCTGCTTTTCATAAAGTGGAGTTATTTACAGTGCGATGAATAAAAGAAAGGGTAGCTGGTGGTGCAAGCCTTTTCCACATGAATGGTGCGTTGAGGGGAGAAGAAGAAGAGGAGGAGGGTGGTGTCGGCGGTGGTGGTGGTGGTAGTGGTGGTGGGGGGGTCCCTCTAATATACAGTGGCAGAGCAGTATAGTACATGACATGCAGGGAAACGGGAGAATGCACTGAGTTAATTTCTGAAAAAGTGAATGTTTTTTGAGGCTTTAAAGCATTGTTAGACAGTTGGGGAAACGTGCTTATTCAGTTTCTTGTCAGGAGTTCGATGAGAACATTGAGTCTCATGTCTGTATAGTAAATACAGAGCTGCAGCCAGAAGGTTTTATCGGAGCTTGAAGGCAGCTTCGGCTTCAGAAGGTTCATGTGTGAACAGCAATCAGACGCAGCTTTAAAACCGCTGACAGGTGAACTGAATGACGCTGATCATCTCGTTATCGTTCAGTGTTCTGGTGGGAAACCTTGGGTCCTTGCATTCAGGTGGATGTTTCGTTGACATGCCGAAACATTCTTGCAGACTCTCCACAGAAACAGCAACCAGCTAACCAGCTAACCAGGAGGACGATGAACCCAACCACGTTGCAGGAACTTCTCAGAATCCCAAGCCACTAACCCAACATCCCTAAAACCCAGGAGCCAGAAGACAGTCGCCACAACTCAACTCACAGGACCCAAAGGATCCCAAGTCTACCTCAAGGTACCCCAGAAGTCCTGTGTTTATGGCCCAGTGGCTACTTGTTTGGCACAAGGTGGAAACAGGCAGCATCAGGTAAGTTATTGTAACGTTGTGGTTTATGTATACTCTCTTGTTCACTGTAACTTCCTGGAGTCTCCTCTTGTACCTCCATGAACCCACAATAAGTATTTTTCAGGTCCTCGGTTTTGGCCAAAAATATCTAAAGTCCTGTTAGATTTCGTTACCAAAGCAAAGCCAACAGTTTCCCTCTGTTTTCCAGTCCTAATGCTAAGCTACGCTAACTAGCTACTGGTTTTATCTTTCTAGTAAAATGTCATTTTGAGAAAACAGTTCCTTCTCCGACACGGATTAGATCTCAGTAACATCGCAGCACAATGGAAACTTAGCTCACATCCTTCACTTCCCGAATTAGACCGCGCATCTCGGCATCATTCATTTCATCTCCACCGCCGACCAATTAGGTCAATTTATGAACCGTGCCCTTGTGGGATGGGGTGGTAAATATCTCTAGTCTCAGTTTATTGATTAAAAGTGCAGGCTCTGTCTCGGTCTCTTTCTTTCTTTCTCTATCCAGCCCCTTCTGACCTGACGATGCGTGTCGGCTCCCTAGAAGACCCTCGCCCCCAGGCTGCAAAATTGCCTGCTAAATAGTCCGAGGCAATGGCAACGCTAATTGAGATCATCATTATTATAATTGCGAGCCCTGAAAAGCGCGTCTTAAATAATTTGCATTGCTCTCAAGTTGATATTGGACGCAGTGCAAAAATAATTGCATGGCTCGGAGGCATGACGCTGGGTTTGGTGGTGGGCGAGGGGGACGCTTGTGCCCCGTTCCCCTGCCCCATCCCCGCTCTTCTAACCAGGCCGGCCCGGTTGGATGCCACAATTAAGGCGTTTTTTTTTTCCCTTTGCTCCTCGTCAGATGCCATCACATGCTTGTCTCATGTTTTCGCCCACTTTTAAGTCCTTTATGAGGCCTAACACTCAGCAATTTTTTTTTTTGTCAAATCAGAAAAAGGAACTCCCATGAGATGCTTCGGTTTAGTATTGCATTTTAAACCCGACTCCAAACTCACTTGCCCTTTTGCCACATGTCTGAGTTTCCACTCCGTCGATGGAGCTGCTGAGACAGACAAAAAAAAAGCAAAAAAACGGTGTGACCTCGATACATAAAAACTTCACTCGTCACTACATCAGAGGAACCTGACGTTAAAGGTACTTTTTGTGTGGATGTGATGTGCAGGCAGCGGTGTAATGTATGCAAGAGAAATGCCTATTTCTCCAACTGAAACAAGAGATTAACCCAACAAAATGGTGAGAAACTGCTGATATTCATGAATTCTTGCCTGTGGCATTATCTGCCACATGCACACACACACACACATTCTACCAGGTCCCTCGTTCTCCCCCTCTTCCTGTCTCCCTCACACTCACCCCACAAAGAGACTTGACAATAGCCCTAATGAATATGATATGGGAACATGATATAGCTCATTATTTGTTTTGCTTTATGCTTTCACGACAACAACAACAAACCCCTCCGAGGCTCCCGGTAAATCTCTTCTTTTTTTTTTTTGCCTGCGAAAATGAGCACATCAAGCAGGAATGAATCAGATTATCTAAATCCTCTTAGAAACAACACTCCCCTCGAACGCACTCTTTATCGTGCGTTTTCCTCGCTCGTCTTCGCACCTCTCGCTGCTATTATTTCCTCCTTTATGTGTTTAGTTGTGATAAATAAAAGACTTTGAGGTGGATACCGTGCAGGTGGCTCAAGAGGTTATGTTGGAGGGGGGGGAGAAAAAAAAAATCACAACTATCATCTTTAATCCATGGTAATCACATCTGGCCTTAATCACCAATTCATAATGGAATTTATAATGGAATGATTTCAATTATCTACCACCACCGGCACCATGGAGTTCTGAAATTAAATTAGGACAATGCATCTGTATGTCTCAAATCTCAATATGTTTGAAAGAGTCGGGTGATCTTCTTTTTTTTTCGTTGTTTGTGAAACTTCTGAGGTAGAAGTTGTGGCAAAGAAAGATTTTTTTTTTTGTTTTTTAAAAAAGAGGAAAACCTTGGGAGTTGATCATGTGGGGGTTGGGAGGTGGTAAAGAAAAAAAAAACAGTCTAGCATTAGTGAGGAATGGTGGGTTAAATCACTTACTGAAGATTTTTAATGACATTTCAGTGTTCCTCGTATAATTACTCTTCATCCGAGATGGGCCGTAATGCTGTTGGACAGTCGCGGTTCAGGCTCGCTAGCTCGCTTCATTAGCGTGTCATTCCTATTTCACATCAGAGGCTTTAATTGTAATGCTGAATATGCACAGCTCTCCACAGAAGCCTAATCAAAGTGGATCCACTTGTATTATTAATATCAGAAATCAGCCCGCTTGCTATTTTTTTATAAATAAAAGAATACAGACGCATAAATCAGCTGTCATTTATTAGCATGGCCCTGGCATATCCGCCAGACATGCAAGTAGAGCAACCCCACCCCATCTCCGTTCCCTCCCTGCATCACTCATCAAGATTTAAAAAGAATAAAAGACGGAAGGGAGAAAAGAAGAAGGAGAAAAAAAAGAAAGCTGCATTAAATATACATACTAATTCCACTGTGAAGTAATCAGATTACAAAGCAGGTGACACCGAGCAGGGGGAGAAATGTGGACAGCTGGCAATAACGAGGGGATGGAGAGGAGGAGGAAAGATGGAAGGATGGACGAGAGGAAAGACGAGATGGGAGGATTAAGGATTTACATTCAAAAGCAAATACCACGAGAGAGAGAGAGAGCGTCTTTGAGGAGGGCGACGACCGAGAACGCGGCGTGACCCCGCGCAGGTTGTGCTGACCAACCAGAAAAACCAGCTGTGTTTTGAATCCTGCGGCGAGCCAAGAGTCAAAGTGCT